AGCAGACAGTCCCTGCTCCAGCCTGGATCCACACCCACCATGGCACTCCCACCCACGCTTTGATTCATGTGACAGTGGCAGGAAAGGGTCTCATCCTGTCACGCTGGAATAAAAAGCGGCGTTAAAAGGCATAACCTGCACGGCATACCTTCGCATCGCATTTTGGGAGGGAGCAGATGTTGTCAAAGGTGGTTAAGATGCTTAACTGACATGCACGTGGGATCCGAGAGAAACAAAAAACACAAGCCAAGACAAGCCATGGCTCCTTGGAGGTCCTGCTCAGCTGCTGGCGTCGGTTCCTGCTGGCCCCTCAACAGCACCTCCCCATCACTGCCCAGTCTGGCACAGACATGGCATGCAGGTGTCCCTTCTGGAAGGGGAGGTGAAGCCACCACCATGCCTGGCCCACAGCCCTCTGCAAATACCCCTCCTACTTCTTTCCACACCACCCGCTGCTGACAGTGCTCTCTGGGAACCTGCACCCACCTATCGTCACTACACATAGCTCTGGGCCCAGCACCAGCTGCTGTCCTGCCCTGGGCACAGCCAAGCCAGGCTAGAGTGAGGACGTGGTACTGCACTGGTGATACACAGGATTATGGTGGACAGGGGCTTCACACCCACCTCCTGCCACAGCACCTCTCTGGCTGCCTGCTCACGCAGCCCCAGCTGGTCCCACCCTCCTTCTTTTCTCTTTAGTTTTTGGTTATTCGGAGTCAGGTGGGACACTGGTGCAGCAGAGGTATAAAGCCTGCATTGTCTGGCACTTTCTGACTGGGTAGGACTGGCCTGCAGGGACATGGTCACTGGGTGAGCTCAGGACAAGCTCAGGGTGCCAGCACAGCCAGATCTGGAGCCATCCAGTAGCTTTGCTGCCCGCATGGGCCCTGCCACAGCTGCTGGTGGCCAAGGATGAGGGGCTGCACCCAGGGCACGGAGGGGAAGAGCCAATCACAACCACAGTACAGGGAGGAGCAAAGAGGACCATGACGATAACACTTGGCTTTACATACTTTTATTTTTCAATCTGTACAGAATGCTGTTGCTATTATCATAAGGCATCAAATGCGCTATTGAAAAGCTCACGATGGACTGTGACGTTTTGCCCTGTTGCGGGTCAAAAAGGAGTTTCACAAGATTAAATCGGTTGCTTTCCCAGTAAGTAAACTTTATATTCATTACAGACAGATTTTTTTAAAGAATTACAAAGATTAAAAAACTGTAAACATATAAAAAACAGCAACAACCCAGCGTAGCTTTCTAGGAGAGAGTCTCGGGCATTTCTGCTGCGGGGCTGGCTTCGGGCTGGCAGTGAGAAGGCAAGGCCAGCTGTGCCTGGGGGCCATGCTGGGCGCCCGTGTTCTGGAGGGGCTGGGATCGCCTGGCTATGGGCCTCCTTTCTGCGGAGAGTCCTCAGCAGGTGCCAGGTGATTCCCAAATGGCCAGCCTTGGCCACAAACATCTAATCCAGAAAAGGAAACTGAGAAAACAGGTCACTCGGGAGCCATGTGAACAGTGGGGAGCCAGCCGCAGGCTCCTGGTGCCTGGCCGCGGTGCAGGGGAGCGGGGGTGCCTCCATCCTGGCTGCAGGCCTCCAGGTCCCCTCCAGCAGGAAGGCAGAGGCCAAAGCAGGCCTGGCCCACGTATAAGTCATGAGGTAGTAAATGGGAAAGTGTCACATTTCACTGTTAGGGTCTGTCAGAAATAAACTGACTGACAGCACAATCCCAGTGTGTTTCTGGGGTACGCCAGGGGGCACCTAAAGTCTGCCTGGTACACCCCAAAATTTACATCTCCAAAGAAGAAAGCTCTCCAATGATCCATGCAACAACTTTAGCCCAGGAAACAAAATGAAAAAAAACCATCCTTACACTTGTACCCTTAAAGCATTTAAATTTTGAGCAGGGGAAATCAAATTGCAAGGGTGCACGAGAGGGCAATTAATTTCCCTGGGTTTCAGCCTTTGGTACTGGTTCGTGCAAGGTGAACAATGAGAAGGCTCGTTCACCAGGCAGCAGGCTAATACATTCATTTTCCACCATTGGCCACCAAATAACAAGTGCTTTCGTCTCCGTTGCACCACACAGCTTGAGAACCTGAGAGTCCAGAGGTTTTATATCACACCACCAACCCACACAGTCCTGTAATTTGTAAAGGTATCTTGGGTGATCAGAGAAATATCCTGAGAGTTTTTATCTGCTAAACTCCTGCACTCTGAACACCTTCCTTTGCCTCTTAGTGCACACTTAAAAACAAAATAAAGAAACTGTATTAGTCCCATTATTTAAATTTTCTTACTCCTCACACTTCTGCAGTGTATATTTAGATTATTAGGTTGACTTACATTTCCTTAAAACGCTCAGGGAAAATTTGAGGGTTCATTTAAGTATTGCAGGCTCATGATCTGTGACAGGCATTTTACGAAGTGTCAGAAAACTTCTCACTTGATAATAACATACTGACAGTCAGGGGAGCGTTCTTTTTCTAGTGCTAATAATCAGCATTAAGGCATGCCACGGTTCCTACAAGAAATCTGTGATCCTTACAGCTTTAGCTGTCATCTTTCTGCAATAATGGAATGTACTCCAATTTTATGCATATGCATCATTAAAAAATAAAAATAATGGCTCTCAAAACCACCAGCCTCAGTTTTAGAGCTTCTGCTGTGTAGGTGAGTAGGGGCCCAGGCTGGTCAAAGTGTTTTTTCTTCCCCACGATATCCGTCCCCTGCCCCACACCAGCTCACCGCCCCGGGCTCAGCACCGTCTGCCCCCTTGCTTGGCATGGCTCTCCCTGCACCTCTGGAGGTCACATCCAGCCCCTTCCTGTCCTTGGAGCAGGATGGAAGCCAGCACTTCCCTACTGCCCTACCTCAAGTCATGTGACAGGGCCTGCAGGCAGAGTCCTCCTACCCTCCAGCAGGCAAAGGCCAGCTAAGGAGGAGCCTTCCTCCTCTGTGTCCTGCTTCTCAGGGTATTTCCTTCCTCAGTCTCACCGATCACAACAGGCTGAAGGCTTCTCCTTACATCTGGAAGCTATTCCATTTATTTACCCTAGAAATTCAATCCTGAATCCCTGATGACACATCCAGAGGGCTGTAAGCTCTCCAAAGATGTCTGTGGAGGTGCTGGCCACCGTTGAGCTCCTGCCTGCAAGCACGCTCCGTATCATGACATAAACTGGCAAAATCATCTGCCAGGCAGCAGTACTGTCTAATAAGGATGCTCATTTAATCACCAAATAACACTGAACTAAAGCAGCGGTTAGAGCAGATAACATCTGAAGCAGTATCTCTTTTGCAGGGTCAACGTTAAAGCCTGGGTGCCGCACCACGCTATTTACAGTGGCCAAAGGAGCACTTTGCTCCAATCTGGAGCAGCGCAGCTGCTTGGGCCCTCCATCAAAGGCCCCCATGCCAGCACCCATGGCCAGCAAACAGGAAGAACTGAATTAGGTGAGAGAGACATAGGTGCTGCACATGTCTCCAAACTTGAAGAGCCAGAGAGGGAATGAGGAACCAGGTGGCAAAATAGCGCTCAGTCTCTCTGCATGAGGACCTCCACCTGCCACTTGTTATTCTGAACCTTGTGCTGCCATGTGCTCCTGGGCAAAGGGGGCATAAAGGAGATCTTCTCCTCCCTTCCCAAGAGAACAAGAGTTCTCAGGTGTGTCACAGCAGGGAAAAAAAAGTAACATTTTAAAAATCTTTGATATTCCTGATATTTGAGACTGAACTCATGACTGACAAGGCTGTGACAGTGAATCACACCTTTCTACTAAGACTCTGAAGTCAGGGACTGTACAGACAGAGGTCTTCACTCATGTTTGGCTTTGGCAGGGACACACATATATTAACATACGTATATATGTTAACAGGACATATTAATATATATATACACCACTGTTCAGTAAGAACTGACAGCAGTACATACAACAGTCTTTTTTGCTTTTCTCAGCAGTGCAAGAACACAACTTTAACGTTCCACAGAAACTGGCTGATAATAAAGTAAATAGCATCAGTGGTACAGGTTTTCAGCTACTGTGCCATAGAGCTGTGATTAATAACAACATCTACCCTTGATCATCCCCGATGTTGAGTCTCATGTCAGTCAGTAAACTGCCTGATATTTAACCTTCATATTTCCTGACAATTTACTTTTACAAATAAATAGGTTTTTATTCAAGGAGTCCCAGAAAGTTCCTTCCTGACCTTTCCTTGCTGGTTATGTGAAGGCTGACAGCCTAGTGACATAAAACTGAAGTTTCAAGAGGACTAGTAAGACACAGACAACCCCAGTGTGAGCAAAGCCTGCAGCTGAGCTTGAATTTCTTCTGGCATCCATACTGAAGGAGAAGTGTTCAGTCTCAGCACTCTCATGCATTTTCACTCTTTGGGTCTTTTGAGACTCCAAACAAGAGGTCAGTTAATTCAAGTTATGGCAGTTTTCAAACAAAGACATCTGTCCACCAGGAACTAAACTTCTTTTATATGGGTCACTATAACTATCAGAAGTTAATGACTATCAATCATCGCTAATCTGAACTGAAATGGAGCCACTGACCTCAAGCTGAAAGAGCCTTTTGTCTACTACCAATACCATGAGCCATATGGCTCCCTGCCCTTTGCCTCTTATTTTATATTTTAAATAATCATCACTAATTCTACAATTGTTTGAAAATATGGGAGGTTTGTGGCAAGTCATGCCCAAGCGGTGTTCTTTTCTCCCTTAGCTCTCAGTAGAGGAGAAGGGATCAGCTTAAAATTAAAGGATAAAAAAGCATCTCTCTTAATTAAATATTAGCCCTGCTATTTGATTATTGGTCCTGCTTCTTAACAGTCTACCAAGGAGACTGTTAATAATCTTGCAGGCTGCAATAATTAACAGCTTCCAAAGTGTCAAGGTCATTCCTGTTCTATATGAGAGTAATAAGAAAATTATATAGGCAAGACACCAATGGAATGTTTTATATTAGGATAAACGAGTATCTGAGGAACCTACTTATCACAAATCTCTTTTTATTCAGTGGTTTTCATTATTTCATATCAGTTGCATTTTCTCTGGCACATTCTCCCTTTACAACAAGTGCTCATATACTGCAAACACTCGATTATAGAGCTTAAGAAAAAACCATTCTTGTCAGACAAATAAACTGCATCACCAGCTATCTTTAGCTGCATCTGTTTTCTTTAATGAAACATATTTTGCTGTAGAAATGCTGCCTTAAAAATCATGACCACACTAATTATTTATGGCAAGCACATCTTCCTCCACTAACGACAGCTCGAGCGTATTATCGTTTGCACCAGACTTCATTCTGAAATTGAAAGACCCATAGAGCTTTGCAGACTCCTTGGAAGACGCAAACCTGCTCCTCCGGTACAGCTCTCCTTTCCACATAGACATCATCAGCAGGCTGGAGAGCACCACTCCCCCCAGGGTTAGGAGACACAGCCCGGCGATCACACAGCGGTCCAAGTGAGCCCCGATCCTGGCGCTCTCATTCTCCAGCCTCTCCATCTCCCGGGCAGCCACAGTGTTGGGATCCACAGTCACATCTCTGGGTACCACGTAGGAAATGATCACCAGCAAAATGCCACTAACCAGGAACAAAATGGCACTAATGAACCCATAGTCCACAGATTTCCCGTTTGCTACCTCTGAGGCAGCATCATCCTCCTCAGAGACCAAGGAAGGAGAATCGTGCACCCACTGGGGCGGCAGCTCCCTGACAGAGGGGCATCCTGGCAGTGGCTGCCTGTAGGACTGGGGGGTCTTCTTCCATGCTCCAGGTTCACATTTTCATCCACACAGGTGAATGACGTCTCAAGCTCCTGGGCACAGCAGCAGGCTTTCTTCTGCCCTCCCTCCTCCTCCTCAGGCAAGCGCTCGAGTGGGTGGTAGGGCTGGGAGTTGCTGGTAGGGCCAGGGTGCTCTTGGGGTGAGGTGTCCTGGGGGGAGGGCTGGGGTGCCAGGGAGGGCTGAGCCACAGGGCCTCTCTGCAAGGGCCTGCAGTGCCTTTCACAGCACAGGGCTGCCACGGTAGCAGCTGCTCTGGAGTCTACCTTGCCCCCTTCATGCTGCTGCTGCTGCTCATAGGGAGGGGATGACAGGCTCCAGCCTGCAGCAGTGCCCAGTGGTGCCTGCCTGCTCTCCTCGGCCAGGTAGAGAAGCTCCATGCAAGCCATCGACCTCGTCCCGGGGAGCCCCAGCTTCTGGGCTACCGCATCCTCCAGCAAATGCTGCTCCTCACCCGCTGGAGCGGCTTCACGGTACCAGAGCTGCTGTATTCCAGAAATCTTCTAAGTTTTCACCAACGTTTTGTTAGGGACATGGCTTGTGTCAGCTGTTAAATGATTAAACAAATCCTCTCTGACATTCATTTCTTTTCAGTCTGCAAATGAAATAGCAGAGGGAAAAAAAACAACAACAACAAAACCAAACCCGACAACCTCATGACACTATGTTAATAAACCAAAGAGAAGATAACACAAATGTCATAAATACATCGGTCTTCCTCTCAACTGAGGGGAGATGGCAAACACGATTGTTTTAACCACGCTATTAAAACTGCAATCCTCTTGCAGATCCAAAATCTATTAGGGAGTCTAATCAACCTTTGACACCAATATCCAATTAAGGCAGTAAGTCATCTACAGAGCACAGGATAACCAGCATAACTGCGTAAAATGACAAAGAAAAGAGACGTCTGTTCTTTTAGAAGCAAGTAACTCCCCCACCCCCTTCCAAATAAATAATTTTAAACTCAGATTTACAGAGCAATTAGAAAGAAACGCGCAAATCCCATGTAGCTCGATAATCCAGGATCTGTATTCTCTGGTGGAAATCTGATAATCCTACGGGAAAAGCAGTGCTTTCCTATAGCAGATCTCCAGTTTGATTAAGAGCTTTCGGAATGAAATTATGCCTCAAAGACCGATGACTCAAAGACGGATATAACTTCTCATCTGCAATTAATTCGTTATTACCCCCTTCTCGTGCGCCCCATCCCCCTCGAGGCCGAATGCCCGGTGCCAGGAGAAGCCCGCAGTCCGACAAATGTGTTGCGTGCGCCGGACACACATGTGCGCCTGTAGCACATAGGTGATGGGTACCAGACGCTGCTCACTCACGCTCTTCTCGGGACCTCAGCGGGAGGCGGCCACGCTAGGAAAC